GTTGATGGAAAACTATTTTGTAAAACTGATAAAACAGATTCAATTTAATTAACTAGTTTAATCACCAAAATGCATATTTCATGCTCTGTGTTGCAAATCTTTTTTCTGAAACTCACTGATTGATGTGCTATGTATTCTTCTTCGTGCCCAGACTACCAGCCTGCAGCACCTTGAATCTGTCAGCTTCAAAGCCTTGACCATTAGGGTGAAGAATTATCAGCAGCCTCATGTCAGTGTGTAGAGAGACTGATGTTTACAATTTAAGGGATATTTGCTTTCTTTTGCAATTTTAACTAGCCTTTTATGATGTTCTGAGGTATTGCTTCAATGGCTGTCCACTCCTCTAGTTGCAGTAGGCCTTGTCTCCTTTATTCTGTGGCATCTTGTTATTTTGCTTTGCTGCTTCATGTTAATTGCTTTAACTCCTGCCTGGAAAAAAAAAAAAAAACCAACAAAAAACATGATTTAGTTGGCAGATTATCTCCTTATTTTGTATTTTGAAACTGAAAACTGTGAGCAAGTATAGCTTTGAGAAAAGGAGCAACTAAAAATTCAGATGTTCTTTTTTTCCACCAAGCTGTTGTTTATGGCTCTTTAAAGACACAGAGTATGCCATAGATCAGTTGCCTGCTGATAAAAGACTAGAGCATGTGATAGAACACTGTCTCTCTATTAGATTGTTGAAATATTTTGTATCTAATGTGCCAGCCAAACTTGAACCAGGAAAGCCATAAAACCTGAGGGTAGAACAAGATGACAGTAATACAAATTACTTGTTCTCAGTGGCTTTTTTCTGTGACCCTCCCTCCCCTTCCACCTCCATTTTCTGGAATGTCTTATGTAATTTTCTCTTTGACTTGCAAAGTACAGTATTAATGCCATTTTTTGTCAACTGAATTTGTGAGATTACTGCCACTGAGTAGACAGCTCAGTAGCAACCATAGAATCACAGAATGGTTTGGGTTAGAAAGAACCTTAAAGACCATCTAGTTCCACCCCCCCTGCCTCGGGCGGGGACACTTCCCACTAGACTAATCAAAGGTAAACTTCTAAAAAAGCCACCAAATTACATGCCTCAATTCAACTTAAGCAACAGTGGACAATGTGTTAGCCACAATACTGGTAGTGGTATATACAGAATTATGTTACCACAGTGTTTACAATGCTTTTCTGCTTCATGGTGGCATGAAGAACCCAGCTCTTAGGGTGTAGTTTCACATCAAGTTGTCTTCCAGGGAATTGCTGTCTCTGGCCATGGATTACTGCTACGACTTCACTTGTGCTCAGAAATGAGTGTACAAAGCTATATGTTAAGCCAGGTCACTGAAATAATGTGAATAAAACATAATCTTTCACCAATACTAATCCTGCAATTTGTACCACTTCAGTGATCTTGTGTTCAGTGCCTTGGACAGTGCTGCTACACTTGCCTACCTAGAGAGTAGCCAGTGAGAAACAGCCAAGAGTAGTAGAGGGAGGGGCAGGAATTTTTAAGCCAGTTTTGCTTTTGAATAAATATGTGAGCTCAGACCCGGCTTTGGGACCATGTGGGTGATTGAATGTCACAGTTTGTCACTTATGTGTTGCTGTTGGGTCACATACTATGGCATAAGAGTGATTATGGAGTTTCTGTTCCCTCCTATGACAACCTCTTATTTTCTGCCCATTATGAAATAACATCCATAGTTTTCCTGAAAGTCAAATGGCTTTATGAAGGCTTATACCTTGTAATTAATCTTGGACAGTTTTGTTTCCCATCTCTTCTCTGTACCACAAATGTGCTCAGTGTTGTGACAGCTAAATGTCACGGGACTTCAGCCAAACCCTTCCCAGAGTATTTCTCAGTTGGAAGGCTTTTGTCTTTTGGCATTGAGAGATCAATAGCTGAGGGATTGCAGAAGGCCTGTGTGCCCTCCCTGGCTGCTGACAGGGCCACGATGGGCAGCTGACAGTATCCCTCAGCTGGCCCTTGGCTCAGTCCATGGGATTTGAGTAGACCCAGGCGCTTTTACTTTCTCACAGAAGCCTCAAGTAGATGTTTACTGTGGTAAACAAAGAAATGATATTGCAGTTGTGAGCCAGCAGGAGTCAAAACTAAGCGTGGAGGCTGAACTTTTTTAATTAATCCCATATCTATGATAATACTGTTTCTGTTCTCTGTCCGGGGGCTGTAGAGATTCCAGCTGAAGCCTGCATGAATTTCCCAGGAGCTTTGGTTGTCTTTTCATTTCCAGTGGGGGGTAAAGCTTTGCACTGTCTCTCTGTCAGCTCAGGATTACCAAAAGACAGAGGGCTATAACAATGCTCCTCCTGTAGCCTTCAGGGTGTTACAAGTCCCAGATGGCTTTTTATGTGCATTGTGCTTCCAGAGCATTACCAAACAACTCGGAGGGACCAGATACCCTACCACCATTTTTCTGAAGATTAAGATGAATAAAAAGTTGCAAAAACTTGCACAAAAGAAGATTTAGAGATTAGAAAGCAGCAATTTAAAACAGAGCCGTATAATAAAGTGTGCAGTATCAAATAGAATTTTACTCCTGTTGCTCAAGGTTTCCTCAGAGTTACAGAGTAGGGTTTGTTTGTGTTTTTCATTCTCCAAACATATTGAAATTGTCACCTAATAGAGTAAAATGTTCTTTTTATACCCTAAACTGTAAACTTTCTTTGTGTTTTTCAGTTTGTTTTTTTTTTTTCTTTTTTTCTATTTAAACCAAAATGATTATGTGATGTGGTGTGGTCATTGACCACACATTGACCTCAAGCCATAAAATAAAAAGTTAACAGAAGAAATGGTGTAGTTGAGTTATAATGACAAAATAAATTACAAATAATAATAGCATCTTTGTGTTTTCTCTGGACCTTTCACCTCAGGGCCATAAACTGCTTTACACCCACAGTGATGTAGCCTGCAGTAAGGCTAAAAAATAACTTGCATTTAACTTGTTTTAAAAAATGAAGAAGCAGGGTGAATGACTTGCTGAAATTCTTAATCCATCAAATAATGTAACAGAGGGCACAAATAGGTACTGTACCTGCACACCTTGTTTTCTGGATGAGAGCCCATCTGAGAAGGGAAGCCAGTGCTGGGTGCTGAACTGAGAGGAGCCAGATGTTCCACTGCTCTGCAGATGTGTTTCCATAGTGGAAAATTCGCTGTATATTCCTGGCCCTTGCAGGTATTAACTTATTTATCTTTCCAATGCTGAGTTTAATTACATCCTTTAGTGCTTAATGGCACTAATTCAGTGTAACTGTTTAACACTGGCATTCTTGATAGCTGTTGTTATATTTTTGCCAACTGGGGATTAGGCTGAAGATTACCATCAGATAAATTGTAAAACATCTAAACAAACTCAAGTTATTTCACATTTTTTAACACATTCTAATGCAAAGTGTGTTTTTCCTGCACATGCAGTAGCTAGTTTCTGCTTGGCTTCATTTTTTGGAGTAGGAAGGGCAGTAATGAGGTATGGTGTGTTGGCCTTGGCTGGATGCCAGGTGCTCACCAAAGCCACCCTATCACTCCCCTTCTCAGCTGGACAGGGAAGAGAAAAATATAACAAAAGGTTTGTGGGTTGAGATAAGGACAAGGAGATCATTCAGCAATTACCATCATGGGCAAAATAGACTTGGGGAAATCAGTTTAATTTATTACCAATTGAATCAGAGTAGGCTAATGAGATAAAACCAAACCTTAACACCTTAACACCCCTCCTGCCTTTCCAGGCTCAACTTCACTCATGAATTCTCCACTTGCCTCCCCACAGCAGTGTAAGGGGGTGGGGAATGGGGGTTGTGGTCAGCTCATCACACGTTGTCTCTGCTGCTCCTTCCTACTAACACTCTTCCCTTGCTCCAGTGTGGGGTCCCTCCCACAAGAGAGAGTCTTCCATAAACTTCTCCAATGTAAGTCCTTCCCACAGGCTGCAGTTCTTCATGAAATGCTCCAGGGTGGGTCCCTTCCATGGGTGCAGCCCTTCAGATTGCTCCAGCATGGGGTCATCAGTCCTGTCAGCAAACCTGTTCCTCTCTCCATGGGGCCACAGGTCCTGCAAGGAGCCTGCTCCAGTGTTGGCTTCCCATGGGGTCACAGTCTCCTTCGGGCATCCCCCTGCTCTGGAGTAGGGTCTTTCCCAGACTGCAGGTGGGTGTCTGCTCCACCATGGATCTCCATGGGCTGCAGGGGCACAGTCTGCCTCACCACAGGCTGCAGGGGAATCTCTGCTGTTAGCCGTAGCACCTCCTCCCCTCCTTCTGCACTGACCTTGGTGTGTGCAGAGCTCCTTCTCTCACATATTCTCACTCCTCTCTCTGGCTGCAATTGTTCCTGTGCAGTAACGCCCCCCTGTTTAAATACTATGCTACCACCATGCTGATGGGCTCAACCTTGGCCAGCAGCAGGTCCATCTTGCAGCTGGTTGCATTAGTTCTGTTGGACACAAGGGAAGCTTCTGCAGTTTCTCACAGAAACTGCCCTGTGGCTCCCCAGTACCAAAACCTTGGCACGCAAACCCAACACAAGAGGTCAGTGCAGGCAGAGGGTGAGGAGCTGGAGTTAACATGGAAACTTGGTAGCATGTGCCTGGTGTGGTCCAGCCCATGGCTGACACAACAAGGGGCAGGGCACAAGAGCCCCTTTCCACACCAGACCCTTAATGCTGTGATGCCAGTGCCACATATTTGTGCTCCTCAGTACGAGATGACCTTAAGGCCAACCAAAAGGTGCAGGTTTTGGGGATGACACGCCAGTGTCATGAGGCCCGATGAGGCAAAGGGAGATGAGAGGGTAACGCAGTACACCCAGTATGCCGGAGCTAACACAGCGCGGGGCCCCTAAGAGTAGAGTTGGGGTCCGGGGCCGAGGCCGATGCGCCTCCAGCCCTGGGCCTGGGCCTGGGCCCGGGCCCGGCCCTCTGGCGCCGCCTGGCGGCCCCATGCGGAACCGCACGCGGAACCGCGGGGCCGCTGCTGCTGTTTCCGGCGGAGCCAGGGGTGGCTGCACCGGGCGGCAGGACTGGGCCGGAGCATGGCGGCGCGCTGGGCTGCCTGCGGCCTGTGGGGCAGGCGCCAGGGGCGGCGTGAGTGGCAGCAGCTTCGGGGTTGTTCTTTTGTGGTGCTTGGAGGGACCCTCGCCGTGCGGGGCGGCTCGGCTTGGCTCGGCTCGGCTCGGCTCGGCTCAGGGCCGCGGGCTGAGGAGGCCACCGTGGGGACGGCGGCCGCGGGCGGGAGGCGGTGCCGGCCGGTTTCCCCGCCTCAGGGGCTGTGGGCCGGTGTGAGGGAAGGGGCTTTGCAGCCAGAGGCAGTCGTTATGATCTCGTTGCTTCGGTTTTCTTTCGTGGCTTCCTGCAGGCATTGCAGGGACCGAGGATGGATGGGCGGGCAGCAAGAGCTGCTGAAGTGCTCACCCTTGGCATGTTGAGACGGGCCCATGGAGGAGCAGTACAGCGAAATGTTTACCTTTTAGAAACTAGCATCTTATAAAGAGACTTTGAAACTCCCTGTCGCTTAGTTTAGATCATTCCTTTTACTAGGGTTCATCTCCACATCAACTGTTTCTCGACTGACATCAGAAGAAGTGATTCAGATGCGTAATGAGCTCTTCAGCAAAGAGAAAGAAAGACAGTTGTCTCTTTATCCACGAATTGAGAAAATTGAAGTAAAATACACTGGGAAATCGCACCCTGGGAGTGTGTTTGTAATGAACAAAGCTTTATCTACTCCGTACAATTGTGCCATGCGTAAGTGAATGGACTAACAGTGTGACACTGCTGATGAAAATTGTACTGCCAATTGAAGTACTTGTTATCTCAATTTGAAATGTTAAAATTACTGACATTTTAATGACCAGGACAACAGACGTACATTCAGAATATTTGTGTTTGGTAAGTTTAAAATACATTTGTACTAAGATCCATCAGAAGAAACAGTTCATTTTTGGAGGCTCTGTTAGCAACTTGTCCTCCCAAGTAATTTACAAAAGTGAAAGTTGCAGTTTGTTGTTACAAATGCAGGGATCTAAACTGCTGACTGAGAAATATGGTTAATAAATGTGTAATACTTACTTTACTTTGTTTAGACTTAAGTGAGTGGCATTGCAAGAGGTCCGTTCTAGCTCTTGTGGATGGTGAAGCCTGGGATATGTACAGACCCTTGACCAAATCTTGTGAAATTCAGTTCCTTACTTTCAAAGATGAAGACCCAGAAGAAGTAAACAAGGTAATCTGTATCTTATCCCATAGTAGGTGGCCTTAGTTATGACCACTTGATTCTATATACGCCTTTCAGTTCCAAGTCCATCTCCTTTCTTGGACTTTGTTGTGAAGGTTTCAGATGTTTCTAATAGGTGCTTGGTGCATCATGGTTGTCATTAGCTGGACAAGGGTGTGGGCTAGGTGATGTGTAAGCATCCCTTTCAATCTATATCGTGGTATTGTTTTGTGATTTCAGATTTAAATGTCTCCAGGGAAACATCTGGTTTGCATTTTAAGTGCAGTTTTGATTTTATATTTTATTGATTCTATATGTAGAATTATCTCCAAATACAAGTTTAAATAGTAAAGAGGGTAGTGTTTGGGTTGACAGCTAGGTTTGTACGTCATTCAGTTAGATGGCGGTATTCTTTTGGAGTGAATAACTGATGTTCATCTGGTTGGTTTGTTGGCTTCTAGGTAGTAAATCTGTGTTTTGGAATTCTCTTCATAGGCCTACTGGCGTTCCTGTGCCATGATCATGGCATGTGTATTAAAGCGGGCATTCAAAGATGAATATTCAGTCAATCTGATTAGAGCTCCAGAAGTGCCAGGTGAGACAAGTGTTTTATATTGACTGTTGCTTTTACTGCTTCTAAAATGAGTGTTTAATAGTCTTGCAAAAAACCCCACAACAACCAGAGGCTCCAGTGATTGAAGGTACTTAGCATTCATAAGTGTATTATGTGCTGTTGTTGTAGCCTTTAATTTGTAGTAATCATAGAGTAATTTTGTTATCAAAGTACAGAAAATTGATCTGTGTGGCAACTGGGTTTCAGACCACTTAGGATTTAACAGTTAGTAACTTAAGGATATAACCTATTTATTGGGAAGTTATATGGGTAAGGTATTTAAGATGTGGTTTGTTTTGTGAAATTTGCTCTAATAACTACGTAACTGTGACTGCTAAAAACTGCTACTAAAAATTGCGGTGTATACATCAAGTTGGAAGATTATTGAAGTACACACAGGGTTAGTAACAACTGCTCATCTGTGGCCTGATTTAAGATTTACGAAAGTGAGATAGCGAACAATAGAGGAAGTTATTTAAATAACAAACCCAGTGTAATTATGCATTTGATATAACGAGCAACCAATGTTCTTATATTTGGGGTCCTCCTACAACTGATTCCCTTTTTAGGGATTTCAGCATTTGTCTTGATTGGTAAGTATAGAGTGGATATTTCAGTTCAGGATTTGGAATAATCTTGCATATACTAAGCTATATGGTATTACACCGACATTACATTAAGACTCATTTCAAAGACTCATTCAGTGAAATGAAATGAAAATGGTACAGGTTTAATCTGCCACTTGTAGAATCACAGCTGAAAATTTATATTTTATAATGGATTTCTTGAGATCATTCTGTTTTTCTTATTAATTTTGATATATTTATCAGAATATGCTATGACAGTGAAATACGTACTTGTTACAAATGTGTTTTTTATTTGGATTTGCAGTGATCTCTGGGGCTTTCTGTTATGATATAATTTTGGACGATAGACTGAATGACTGGAAACCAACAAATGTAAGCACAATAACTTCTTGCCTGAAAGGTTGTATAGGTTGGGTTGTATAATTAGGGTTGGAAAGGACCCTAAGATCATCTAGTTCCAACCCCACTGCTGTGGGCAGGGACACCTCACACTAAATGATGTCACACAAGACTCTGTCCAGCCTGGCCTTGAAAACTGCCATGGATGGAGCATTCGCGACTTCCCTGGGCAGCCCATTCCAGTGCTTCACCACCCTAAGAGTGAAGAACTTCTTCTTTGTATCCAACCTAAACTTCCCCTGTTTAAGTTTTAATCTGTTACCCCTTGTCCTGTCACTACAGTCCCTCATGAATAGTCCTACCTCAGCATCCATATAGCCCCCCTTCAGATACTGGAAGGCTGCTATGAGGTCTCCACGCAGCCTTCTCTTCTCCAGGCTGAACAGCCCCAACTTTCTCAGCCTATCTTGGTATGGGAGGTGCTCCAGTCCCCTGATCATCCTCGTGGCCCTCCTCTGGACTTGTTCCAACAGTTCCATGTACTTTTTATGCTGAGGACACCAGAACTGTACACAATACTCCAAGTGAGGTCTCATGAGAGCAGAGTACAGGGGCAGGATCACCTCCTTGGACCTGCTGGTCACACTCCTTTTGATGCAGCCCAGGATGCGGTTGACTTTCTGTGCTGCGAGCGCACACTGCTGGCTCATGTTCATTTTCTCATTGACCAACACCCCCAAGTCCTTCTCCTCAGGGCTGCTCTAAATCTCTTCTCTAAATACAATAGTATATATGGAGTGTTTTCTACATACTTGTTCAGTGGTTCTCTTTTGATGGTGGAGAGGGGACAGTGAGGTTTTTTTGGTTTTTTTTGGGTGTATCTACAGTATTTTTTTAGGTCAGGACTACTCTTTGGCAACTGATCTCCATATTTACCACATACCGGCTCTCACTGCAGGGTGCTCGCAGAGCACACAGGCCGGGTTCCTTTTAGGAACTAAATGTTGAGCTGTCCTTCAGGCGCTTACAGGTTTTAGGTCTGTGGGGCTAGAGTAAGTTCTAATCTGAAATACCATTCCCAAACCAGTTGATATGGCTGTTGGGACCTCAGTGCCATCTTTGTTACTTTACAGATCTGCTCCTACTCAGCCACTCCTGGCTGGTAATGTAGATGTAACAATAGTCTTTGCGTAAGTAGAGCCCTCTGAAAAAAAAAAGTGTGTAAAAAGTGGTTTACAGCATAATCAACTTACTGTTCTAAAAGAACTGTGAGAACATTCAGATGAAGCTCTCCTTAATACCTTGCTTATATATATCATCCTCTTCAGTAAATCTAATGATCTAAAACCTAAGTTTCATAACTGTTTGGTAGCTGGTGTGATCCCAGATGTTTTATTTATCTGGTGCTTACTCATATTCTTGTGCCCAAATATCAGTGGAGGTGTGTAAGGCTAACAGCAGTATTGGTACAGTGCAGAATTTTCTTCAGTATAATCTTTGTAGTTGAAGTAACTTGGTTTGGAATATTTTCTATGAGACATTATAAATGTAATTTCTCCTAATAACAGATTATTTGTTAATAAATCTGAATATGCAGAGCTTTGGATTCTGGATCAAGGTGATCAATTTCTGTGTATTAATTTTTGAGTATTTTTCTTTTCCCTTTAATTCCATCACAATAGAGGTCATTTATAAGCAGCGTCATGCCTCTGGGAAACAAGACACACAAATGAGTGTTTAAGACTAGCAAGACTGTATGTGTATATATCATGGAGGGAAAACCTGAGAAGTTTGGCTTCAATTAATATATATTGTTTCTGATGGAAAAGTGCTTATTGATTTGACTGGGCATTGAATCAGTCCATTTAAAACAGTGATGATTTGTAGCAATCTGTTGCTGATAAATAGTAAGAGTTACGGTCCCACAGCAATATTCTTATATTTAGGCTTTATGGTAGAGGATCGTTGGTGTTTTGACAAATATTTAGTATTTCTTACGCTTTGTCTATTCATTACAGCTGTGAAACAGTGGTGGCAGTTTTATATATATCAGTTGTTTTTCTAGGACAACTTCCGTTCTCTTACAAGGGATGCTGGAAAGCTGATTCACAAAGACCTGGTATTTGAAACACTGCATGTTGAATCAAAAGTGGCACGTGAAATGTTTCAGCATAACAGGTGATTGAATTTGACTTTCTTGTAGAAGGGCAATTACAAATTCATTTAAATCTCTGCTTGATTTTGTAAATGTAAAATAAGACAGGTGAAGAAAAAAAAGTACTTCTCTCACTACCCTGAATGAGCCTGCCTTCATTCTCTTTGTCACACTATCTTTTTCATTTTGATATTCTCTCCAGAGAGCACTGGGCGCCTTTGGATGTAGTTTTATGATAAATGGAAAAAGACTGTTGACTTCTTAGGTTTCACTGCTTTTAAATTTCTCTGGCGATTAGACTTGGTGTACTAGCTGAAAGGCCTGATGAGGCCACATGTGGAGTACTGTGTCCAGTTCTGGGCTCGTCAGTACAGGAAAGATAAGGAGCTACTGGAGAGGGTCCAGCGGAGGGCCACAGGGATGGCCAGGGGTCTGGAACATCTCTTAGGAGGAGAGATTGCAGGAGCTGGGCCTATTTAGTCTAGAGAAGACTGAGAGGGTATCTCATTAATGCATATAAATATCTCAAAGGCGGATGCCAGGAGAATGGTGCCAGACTGTTTTCAGTGGTGCCCAGCAGTAGGATGAGGACAGTGCCCATAAACTAAAACACAGGAAGTTTCACCTCAACATGAGGAAGAATTTCTTTACTTTGAAGGTGGCAGAGCACTGGAACAGGCTGCCCAGGGAGGTTCTGGAGTCTCCCCCTCTGGAGACACTCAAAACCTGCCTGGACATGTTCCTGTGTAACCTAGTGTAGGTGGCCCCTTGTAGGGGGTTGGACTAGATGATCTCCAGAGGTTCCTTCCTACCCTAATGATTTTGTAATTAATATTTTGGTATCTTCAAATGAAAACTTTCTGAAATGTGGGTTTTGAGCTCTGCAGGAGGAAAACGGGTAAAATGCTCTGGCCTGTGCTATAAAAGAAGGCTTGTTCAGAACACTCAATTTTTCTGAAAAATTGCTGAAAAAAACACTTAGGCAGTGTTTTGGGATTGGGGGTGGTAGGAGTTCTCTGGTCCACAGCTTTTTGGGGGTTAGAGAGAGGTGGGGGAAAATGGTAAATAGTTTATCCTTAGCCGCTCCTCACAGGACATGCCTCGCAGCCCTTCCACCAGCTTTGTTGCCCTCCTGTGGTTCAGTCAAGGACCTTCACAACCTTCTTAAATTGTGGGGCTCAGAACTACACACAGTACTCAAGGAAAGGCCACCAACACTGAATACAGCAGGATGGTCACTTCTGACCAGCTGGTTGTGCTGTGTCTGACACACCCCAGGATGGGGTTTGCACTCTTGGCTGCCAGGCTACACTCCTGACCCTTATTGAGTCCACTGTCAGAGGGCACCCACAGATCCCTTTCTGCAGGGCTGCTCTCCAGTTACTCCTCTCCCAGTTTATACTTGTGCTCGGTGTTACTCCCTACCAATCCAGCATATGGAGTTGTTAAATTTCATGCCATTGACAACTTGTCCAGAAGGGTGCTGTGAGGGACAGTATCAAAAGCCTTACTAAAATCCAGAAAAACTACATCCACTGCCTGCCCTTCATCCACTAGGTGGATAACCTTGTCATAGAAAGATACAAAAGTAGCTAAACGGGACTTTCCCTTTGTGAACCCATGTTGACTGTGCCTGATGACTGTGTTATTCTTTAAATGCCTGTCAGTGGTACCAGTATAATCTCCATATATTTTTCCAGGAACTGAGGTTAGACTGGTCTGTTCAACATGCTTTATGAAACATGTCAATGTGTGGTGTTGTATAAAATTTAGAATTTAAACCTGTTTGAGAGCTTATGTGAATACAAGCATGATTTTTAAGAATGCACCTTAAGTCAGTCTCTTAATTATTCTTATAAGAACTAGGTGTTAAAGGTGAGGATTTTTTAAATATTTTTTTTGTCTTGTTCAGATACAAACTGGAGATGATTGAACGAAAAGCTTCACAGAATATGGAAGGAATTGTAGTGTTACATAGGTGAGCAAAGCAACTCATTCTGTAATGATTCACTAAAAGATCTGATAATGTTGCAAGTACTCTGCAGGTGAGAAGACTAAGTTACTTGTGGTAGTTTCCAATTTAGAAATCCCTTTTATTCATTGCTCTTAAGTTGTTATTTGGGTTTTTTCTTCTTCATACAATCATTGTTTTGTGATACCTAACACTTGGTGGATCTCACTAATTTAAGTTAGAGGTGGTAAGTGCCAGAGAAGTCTCACTGCTTTTATATAAAATCTAGATAAATCTCTAAATCTTGAGAGGTTAAATAAAATACAAACCAAGTACTTGCTTGAAAACAAGAGTTAGCATTGCGTAGTGGACTTTTCTTCTGAAGTTGTCAAGATCTTCCTAACTGGCAAGCTAGGGAGTGGAGCTGGCTCCTGGGATAATAAGATTTCTTAAGCTGGAGGCTGTAAGCTTGTGTTGTATCTCAGGCATGTAAAAGAATTTGTGACTAGCTTGGGCTAGCATTTTATAGATGTCTAAATTGTATTTGATTCTGGAGTCCATATTTATCTAAACAACAGATGTCTCTGCAATGACAGTTCTGGAAATTATAGAAAGATGTTGTGTGTGTTGTTCTCTGTTATGATAGAATGGGCTTACCTATTGAATTCTGGGAGAGGTTTGTTCTGAATATCCTTTTGCTGTACATATTTTTGTCTCTCACTGTTCTCGAGTGATTTGCATTTTTTCAAGACTTGAAGGGGAAGCATGTGTGGAGGTTGTGAACGTTGTACTGTGGAAAATGCGTTATCTTGGAGACAAATCTTCTGGTGAATGACAGATTTGTCCCACTTTTAAAGCCAACACGGCTTTAAAGATTTGTTAAACCTGGGGTCCTCTTTCTAGACTCAAGGTTTAAATTTCATTAAGTTCATTTTAGGCACTTATGTAACTTGTACTTTTGTTTCAGGAAATCTAGAAATGCTGAACTGGGGATTTATTTAGATTTGGTTTGGGATTTGTGTGGATTTTCTTTCATCTGTTCTCTAGATAGGAATTTGCTAATGAAACATAAAAACAAATAGGCTTGTACTGCTCTCTCAATGTATTTGTGGGTATTTTTCTTATCTCTCCCATCAGATTTGGTGACTTTGTAGATGTCAGTGAAGGCCCTCATATTCCAAGGACAAGTTTCTGTTTCCAGTATGAGATAACAGCAGCCCATAATCTTCAGACTAACCAGTCTGAATTGGTAAGGAGATTCCAGGGTGTGTCCCTGCCAGTCCATTTGAAGGTAATTAATCCATTTTGTACAGGCTTTCCTTTTTTACGTTAGGGCGCTTGGCTTACTTTCTGGTCTTTACTGTATGCTGTGCTGGTAGCTGAACATAATTCTGAGGTGAGAACAGCTGCATAAAGGAAAGGCCTGTAATGTGACTGTGTTGGATATTTGGAATTTGTTTTCCCGGAATTATTGTGAATGTGAAATGGAGCTAGAAAAGTTTGCATCACAGGGCCCTTGATATTTTCTTTCAGTACGGAGAGTGTTGTTTTGGTTGTGCAGTTTCTGCATGGATATTTCGTTCACTTTGCCTTAGTCGTGCATGCTAATCTTCTGAAATTGCGGCTGTTGACAGTGTTTAGTCAGATTTGGGAGAAGCAGAACTTTGAATTTAGACTACTGATAAAGGATGCCATTTTAAGGTCTTTCATAACACCCAAGTATAACTTAACCACAATAACAAAAAAAGGCCTAGTACTAATCAGTTTCCAACAAAGGCTTTGCAGAACTATAGCTGGAGGCAGGAGTCTTTCTTCCCATTCCTGTTGACTCATATGCTTGTGACAGGTGGTCTAACACGTGCTGTTTGTCTCACTTGGGGGAAGTTTTCAAGGGACAGGTGTGCGTGGGTTCCTCACCTCATGTCTGTGTCCCCTTCCTCATTGTAAAATTTTAGCTCTCATTTTTACCCACTCCCTCAATGATTCCACACATTGTGGATGTGATCAGCAGACATTTATTCAAGTGCTCCAAAGGAACGTGGGCAAATTGGATGCTGGAATCAGGAGCTGTAACATCTGAGTTAGGGATTGTTACGGTTTTGTGCCAGCATTTCTATACATTTGTCAGAATCTATTTTAAGATTTTATTTCATGCTTTACCTGCACTAACATCATTTAATGACATTTAATACAGGCTCACCACATCGTGTGGCACAAACTGCTGGAAAGATCAAAGAGGCTGGTAAGTTTCGTTAGTGGTGAAGTACAGTTTACCAAATAGAAAGATACACTGTGATAAAGGAGAATTTGAATTATTAGGGATGGGTAATACATTCAAGAACACATCTTTAGGAATGGAAATATTCACAGCTGAATTAAAATCTGATGCACAAGAAATCTAACTGCCAAACTGCTGTGTAGTAGGTTTGAAAGGATACATGCAGACATGTTTCTTACAAGTAAATGCAGGGATAAAATCTAATACCACTGGGTGGACCTAGGTGGGAGTTACTGGAGAGAAAAGGGAATGCTCTTTTGGTAAACTGCATAAATGCATTAATTTGAGTTTTTTTTTTTCCTGTTTAAAACCTACACTGAAAATAAGTTTCTTACAAACAGTATTCTGTTAAACAACCAGTGTTTCAAAGTTGAAATGTGCTTATCCAAGAGAAGCTTTACAGTGTCTAAGTAAATGCAGAAGACCAAGTTTTTAAGATAAGTGGAACTATAAAATATAAGCTGCATATAATCAGAGACTTGCTAGCAAAGCATTCTCAGACATAGGAAATCTTCATAAGAATTAAACAGCAGATGTTTTGGAGCCTTCAAATCAAATATTTTACTTATTTGTGTAGTAAGAGAGAGAAGCGCTGCATGTCTCCTGAAACTTGTTAGCCAAGGATGTGTTCAGATTCTAGCCCATCATATTTTCCCATAAAATTAATTTGAATACGCGCATCATTTTGGAGGCAGTAACTGCCTTTGTAGGCTGTCTGTTCTTGTTAATGTGACAGTGCAAGGGGAGGATTTCCAGGGTCAAGGAGAAGTAAATAATTAAAAAAATATAACAAAATCCCTGTGTGCAGGTCACTGAAGAAAAATATTTGGAAGCAGCAGTTGAACATCATGAGGCAAAAGATGGAACTGAAGAAGAAAGAACTGCATCAGTTTAAATTAACTTTAAATGTACATAATAAAATGTGTATTTTTACATGGTTTATTTGTGCTGTATATAAAAATTGTAATTAATTTGAATTCTGTGGACCTAAATCATGGATAAAGCTGTTACCAGAAATTTCAATCCACTTTAAAGTTTTAAAGGGTGTGTGTGTGTAATATTTCAGTTGTGATAACTCATTTTGCAAGTTACCCTTGCCCTTATCTTGACAGCAATTGTATGTGTCCGAATGTTGTACTCTCTGGTTAGTGCAGCTTGGCCTACAGACAGTAGTTGAAGTGGCAGCTGCAAAGGCCATCCCCTTTATCTTGTTATAACTTCAAGACCCCTTGTTCGGTCTTCGATGAAGAAAGTATTTGTTTCTCATTTTTGACCTAAAGTGTTTGTTTCTTGCTGGAACTTTCTGATGGAATTCCACTGAGTTCTTTGGCTACTGCAATAGGAAGTTAAGACAAATAATATCTAAAAAAAGGAGAAAACATCCTCTCAGAAGCATGTAAAGGGTTACAAAATACTATTATTTTACTAATTTTGGTTTCCTGTCAGAATTGCAATTAGATACTGTGTTTCCAGTTCAGAAGACTCCACTTGCTAGACAACTGTGCAATTGCCATTGCTTTATTAACACAAAAGTAGCAGAATACAAAAGCTGAAAAGTTCTTTGAGTTCAATATTTTCTGCTGTACCAGTGCAGTTAAAGATAATTTTCCAGAATAGCACCAGGAATGTAGTCCATTACTTGCATCCCCAGTGTAGTAAGGTTTTATTATGCATGTTCATTCATTGATATTTAAATACGGGGACTTAAGTTAAATTTCACAGGGTTTTTTCTGTTAGATGATGTTTCCCAACATCCTGTATTTTCATCTCCAGTTCATTAGAGCTGCTCTCGTTATACCAGATGAGATTCTTATTGCTTTTTTAAGTACAAATACTTTCTGTGAATTTTACCCAATTACTGGTTTTACTGTTAACTGCATCACTTGCCTTCTAATCAACTGACACTAGTTTTGGACGAGTAGGATAGCAGTTCACTAAAATACATTTAGGTAAGGAAATCTTGCCTACCTTAATCAAACTAAATAAGTAAGCAAATGCTGAATGTGTCCTACCACAAAAGAAGAAATGCAAGTGGTGAAAGTAGCTTTTTGTGAAATTGCAGAAATCCTAAGGGCTGTGTTAAATTACATTTGTTCCTGTGCTGAGGGCAATCTTTAGCTATGCAGATTTACTGGCATGCAGTGAAGTTTGAAGTCCATCAGTAAGTTAACAGTCTGTGACCTCTGGTTTAGTTTCCTGATATATACAACACTGTTAAAGTATAGCCAGTGAAAGTTCAGAGTACCTGAAAACCTGATTTTTTTCTTTTTTCCTCTTGATTAATGTTGCAGAGGACTTTTCATAATGGTATCAGATGCTTATTTTTTTACATAAGATTCTTGATTCAGAGTTTGTGTGAAGAGTACACACACATTTTATACATTTCCATAAGACTAAATGATCTTTGCACTGATCGGAATGTCAAATATTTGTGTTTCTTTTAATCCTTACCATTCCAGAGTATACTTTGTCTTACCTTTCGCTCTTTTCCTACTGCAAAATTGGTTTCTGTTTTGGGGAACGATATTTGCTGGGATGCTTTGTTTTGTGTTTTTGGAGGTACTTGCCATCTGTGATTAACCCAAAACCACAGCAAAATTATGCCAGTGCTCTCTTTTGGATCTTAAGCTAGTTGTATCACCAATCCACACAGCCTCCTGATGCCTGCTCTGTATTTTGGGAGTCCTTTTTGGAATTAATCCTGGAATCCACCACCTAAAGAGCAAGGTGGGAACGCTGCTTCCCTTTAGGGCATCTATTTAACCTTAGCTGGAATTTTGTGTTACAGAGCTTCTCAGTGGTCCGGCTCTGGCAGGGGAATGCACAGCAGAGCATGGGGAGCTCCCGCCGCTAGGTGGGAGCAGTGGCTTAGGGAGCAGAAGGTGGAAACGCAAACTTCTGCTAACTGATGCTAGCTCATGTTTTGTCTTTCGTGGGCTGGACAGGGCAGGCCTTGGCTTAGGAGAGATGGAGCTGGAGGATGTCTTTGAGAAGTGCCAGGGTTCTCACACAGGACAGTAGCAGTTAGAAAAGAACTGGGTAGTAGTTGCACTTGCAGGTTAAACTTACGCTTCTTTCTTCCCACCTGTACAGTGGTGACAGCATTTTTTTAAGTAGGAGGTGGAGATTCCATTCCCTGTTCTGCCAGAGAGGGATTCAGAACCGCATGTGCAGGGGGAAACTTACATAGTTTTTTGATGAGGGTTGGATCTGAAGATACTTTGAGTGGTCCCTGCCCAATCTGTGATGCCACTACTAGAAAACAACCCCTGAACATTTGTTGAATGAGCATGAGAACAAATGGAAACAGTGCTCAGTGTTCATGGAAGGCACAGAGCAATAGGAGAGATTGGTTCCTGAGTTCAGGGCCATTTCCGTGCTTTATCACTGATTATTGGCATATGAAATGCTGAAATTGTCTACCAAATGGAATGTTTCAGGAGTTAAGCTGGAGTAACACTTCTTTTCTCTCTTTGTCTTAAGGATTTCTGAGCTTTAGCTTGAACTGCAGGGTTGTACCAGCCTGGCTGGCTGTTTGTGGCTGTGCTCTGACATATGCTGGAACTATAGCTGTGTACCAAATCTAAACCTGTGAGGCAATATAAAATACCAAAATGAGCTTAGGTATGGCAAAGCTCTGTCTGGGTGTGGATTTTAGATGTGTGTGCACTGTCTGGCCTACCATGGGATCTGGCCCAATCTTCTCCATTGGAAGTAGCTAAGAGACGCTGTAGGTCAGTTCAAAAAGAGATAGGAAAGTACATGCTGCTATTTCTCTATCCTGAAAGCTATAGATCCTAGAAATGACAACAGTTAGGGGAGGTTAGAGTCACAAATAAGACTGCAGAATTACACACCCCCCCCCCCGCTTGGCTATGTCTCCTCTTCATTAAATTGCTGTTCAGGTGTAAGGAGGCAGTTTTTACTGTATCCATTCAGTAAAAGAGATTCAGAGCCAGCTAAAGGTAAGGAAGACTATCAGAAGACACCACACGGCAAAATACGGAAGATGGAGAGAGGGCAAGGTAGGATCATTTAGGCCAACACACATGAGCAGGAGATGACACTGGCCAGATTCTGATAGGGAATAAATAAGGAAGTTTTTATGATGAAGTTGGTGAGACACTGGAACAAGTTGCCCAGAGAAGCTGTGGCTGCCCCATCCCTGGCAGTGTTTAAGGTCAGGTTGGATGGGGCTTTGAGCAACCTGGTCTACTGGCAGGTGTTCCTGCCTGTGGCAGAGGGTTGGAACTGGATGATCTTTAAGGTCCCTTCCAACGCAACCCATTCTGTGATGACAGGGGAAAAGGTGGAAACTAAAGCCTTCTTCCTTGTTGCACATCTTGGTTGTAGCTCCATGGCTTCTCACATTGAAGTTGTTCCTCCATCTACCTCCTTCTTGAAAGAGAGCTGAAACTTTTTTGGAAAGCAGAATTTTTGCTATGAGCTTTGGATGCTGAGCCTTCCCTCTTTTTTATTGGTTTTATCCAAAAAGGAAACTGTACTAAGGTTAAAGCTACATGGTGTCTTGATCCCAGGAGGTGGCAGTAGGAAGGTTAAGCTGAGTCAGTCCACCTTTGTATATGCAGTATCCGACCAACTGAGATATTTTTTCCAAACAAATATTCTATAATTCATGTTATCATGGAATTTGGAGATAGAAAAGGCAATTATGGCAGTCTGACTACCTTCCTAACAGAAAGAATTAAATGTCATGAGAGAGTTATTCTCTTACCAAGTGAAACTCTTCCCTTCAAACGTGTGCAAGTGATAAAAACACTTGATCATCAGCAGATATTGAGTTCTTTTATGACAGCAGGCAAAATGATTTTCCCTTTCTATTTTAACGTCTGTCAAGAAATGATCTCTTACTGTTTTTTGGTAACTTACCTAATGCTATGCCACTCAGCTTACCATAATATTTTGTTATATTTTAAGCCAGTGAACTTTATAGTCCAACTATATTTATTTTATTAGTTATTTTAAGGAATCCAGACACAGGAACTCAGTATTATAGCAGCATCCAATTGAAAGAGTTGGTAGTGGATATTTCTTGAAGGACACCAACCACCTGAAAATGGTAATGCCATCATGCTGTGGTCTTCCACAAGATTTAACCCCAGTCATGGACAGCATTAACATTCCTTTGGAGTAAAAAGAAAACCTCTTTTTTAGTATCTACTAGTATATCTATGACTTAATATACCTGCCTTTCTGGTGAAACAGCTATGCAGAAAAAGTACATGTAAATGTCTAATGACCATATTTATATTTGCCGTCTAATTCTTAACTTTGCAGGTTACTCAACTTACATTCTGAAGAGGTAAATTGTAAGGAAGCTTATACTTGGTTTTTGTAACATGTATATGAATTAGAATGGTAAGTGGCAAGACCAGTTTCCTCATTAACATGTCTTCTATTGGCATGTCTCTATATAAAATGGAAAAGGAAAGTCCAGGCTAGGGATTAGAAAGGTGTGGTGAAGTAAGGAAGTTGCATCTGGTCATTGTTTCAGTACTGTGTCATTCACTGAGGGCAGTACTGTAGTCCAAGTACACTGCTCTCATGTTAATTAAAACCTTTGAAGAAGAAAACAAAGATCTCTTGGTGGGGTAGGCTAGGGGTGCTGTAATGTAAATGAGACTTCTCAATGCAATGAGGAACCAAAGAAAATATCGTGTAACATCTTCCTTCTGTGAGCACAATTGACATAATAAATGTAATCACTTATTGTTGAGCTTCAATCTATATATGCCACGGGGGAATTTAAGTGTGGCAAAAGCTCAGCAGCGTTTCCAGATTTCTGCCTTTCACAGAAAGCTTAGCTTTAAGATTGTCATTCTGAGTCAGTCATGCAGCTAGATGCCCCGTGAGCACTGCAACCACGTCAGGGCAGTGCTGGTTCTCTGGCAACCGCACATGGAGAAGACAAA